TACAACGTCGTTGCCAAGCGACGAAAACCCAATCCCGATGGCAAACACCGGGGGGGTGGGGGGCAGAACGGGGGGGGGCGTAAAACATGCTGTACACCGTCTCATTCCTTTTGCTGTCGTATGGTTCATGACGGTTGTGGTGTATGGCTGCTGCTGCTTATGCTAGCGTATCCAGAGCACTATATAAAGGTCCGTTGGGCGGGGCGCGGTTGGGAGTGGTTTCGAACACCACCCAAAAGCCAGCGGCGGGTAAGGGTTATCATCAGGGTTATACCGCCCCCTCGGGCGGTAGTACTATAAAGAGAGGGTCTACAGCAGTACGGTTATCTCTAGCGTCGATCCTCGGCCGTACTGAAGCCTTGCGCATAACCCAAAGAGAAAGCCAGGCGCACAAGGCGGGGATACCAAACACGCTGTGGAAGATGATAACACAGGCACACGGAAAGGGGGGGTGCTCCGCGCTTTTCCTCGCAAGGAAGCCTGTTCTTCGACCATCGTTGTAATAACATACGCATCCACCACGTACTGCTGTAGATACCTTTGAGCTCGAAACCTGACCCCAGGTCAGCCCCAGGCTGCGCGGAGCTGGCGCGGAGGTTGTCCATCATGGCCTCGGCTCCCTCGGATGCCACGCCTTCGTAGTCGTACCTTCCCCAACCAAACGTACGCCGCACACGCGAGAAATGCACGGATCGATACAAGAAACAAAACTGCGAGCACTAGCATAAAAACTGAAAGAACGAAAACCAGCATTGAACTAACGTGCCCTTGCATGCTTATTGCACCCCCCCGCCCGTGGTCGCTGGAACCCCACGGGTTGAGTGATGTTGGAGTGCCGGACACATAGACGCGTTGAATGAGGATAGACACATATTGAACCTCACAGGTTGTTTGTATTGGAGATTGCGAGACACCTAGACGTGTTGTGTGAGGATAGCTGCATACTGAAACCTCACAGATGCATTGGTTTTTGCCAGACACATAGACGCGCTGAGTGGGGATAGCTGCATATTGAAACCTCACAGATGGATTGGTTTTTGAGTTTGCCAGACACATAGACGC